TTGGGTAGCAAGGATTCATTAAACGAGTGCTCGATGTGAATGTATTTCTGCCATCAAAAGTGACGATTTGTTGTGTATCCGCATACCGTAGCCTTAGATTCCCGTAGGCGTTTTCGATCACATTCAAATGGGAGCTGGCCAGTGCAAACTTGCGTTCCATTATCCGCAAGGCTTGTGAATTTGAGGCAGTCTGAGAACAGTGCATGGTCACTTGCGTCTTGCGTACTTCGATCTACCAATGGATTGTGTTTAGTGAAAGTATCCGAAGGCGCGGTGTGTGTGGTAGGAGGTAAATAAGACAGTAGACTTTCTTCATCTCACTGGAACACGAGCGATTTGAATTACCCTCTGCCACCTTTGTCCTGAGACTTCCAATTTCTGTGCCGAGGAGGGCCTATTTTATGCAAGATTTTTGGCTCGAACTACAAACACACAAATGTGCACTAATTCTGGACCACAAAGTGGCCACCAGAATTGATGGAAGTTAACATTGTGCTACTCTCTGTAAATCCGCATCTATCTATCTTAATCACCGAATTCTGTTAATTTCCGTGCTCGGGGGTTCCTCAACACCACCGCAATCTTAAGCAGTGTCTAAATTCCATCATTCTCTTAGTTTGTTAGTGGTGTGTTTTGATTCAAATTGATTCTGTGAGGTCATTCACTTAACTCCTTGCCCCTTTCAACCGCGTGCTTGATAAACAGTTTTTCACCTAACGGTGATCCAGCCAGTTGTAATATGCGCTTCTTGACTTGATAATGCATAACTGCCAGGTGAAAGTAGAGCAATGTCACGGTCCCCCCATTTCTTACATTCGCTTTCATCACTTTTGCGACGTTTCAGGCGATGACACATTTAACCATTTACCTCTAGCCTTAACTTAGCCGACGTAAATATGTAGACTATTGGTCAAACTTGATTCCATTCAGTGTTTACGTGTCCCGACAATTATCCATTGGTTTTCACTACTCCTCCAACCAGTCTCCACGCCATGCCTTCCAGGTCTACACAACCCAATCCAGCGTGTAAACAAATATTCGTGTCCAATTTAACCGATGGCTCAACATCAAATTTGTTAAAATCCTGCCAAATTCCCAGCCAAGTCGAGGCACTGGCAGAACAATTGCGATGCGAAAAATCCCGTTACACTTACAACCCCTTGTTGTCTTTCTAAGAAGTGAAATTGAGTTGATGACGCCGTCCCATTCGGGCCAGCAGTTGAGGGTCTGGTACAGAGCCATCAAGACCTGTGCTTGTTTGGACTGTTAGCCTTGATCTTAGTTAAACCATGCCTTCCCCAATCACAGTGGGAAGACCGTTAAAAATACAAGAAACGAATGTTTTTCTTTGCCTCTGGCAAATTTGCTGAACATTAGTCATACTCAAAACCCATACCCCCCAAATATCAGCAATTTAAACCCGTCAAAACTGAACATGTTTTGCGTCTTTATAATTGGCTAACAGAGATTTCCATTATCACACCGTAGGAAACATTTCAAAAATTGGACAGATTTACGTTACCGGAAGTTTCAGGGCACATATGAAAATCACACTCTGAGGCTACAGTGTTTGGCCAAAAGACTTTTTGCGTTTGTGTATTTAACATTTTGGCTAACGTTAAAACGCAAAACTCAAGTTGGTAATTGGGAAAACTGAAAAGAGTCCACGTAAGTGGTGAACGTTTAGACTTTACTAGTTGGTTAATGCAGGATATGCTTTTAAAATAAGGCCTAATTAAACAGCGATAAGTAGTGAACCTCACAAGACTTGTTCACACTGAGTCGACATCTAGTACACACCCTTAAAGCATGTGGTGCAAGCGCAAGTTCACATGTTTGCTTCCAGCTGTGGACATTTTCAGTAGAGTTGTGGCATTTCAAGAAAAATGTTAAGATTAGCTGTTTTTTTCGAAGCGGGGCTTAGTTCTGAAGCGTGATTCAGTGTTAGTATGAAATCTAAGTAAAGCTGAGTTGTGGGCAAATTATTCATCTGGGGAACACAATTTCATGCAGGAAACCGCAATTCAGTGAGATTCAGTGTTAGTAACCTTCGGAAATGCGAACAATCACCTCGACTTTGATGGATTCTTTCTGCCTCTGAGTTCTACCTGCATTGCTTGCATGCACATTGGCTGGTTCACTTCCCACTTTGTATATCGATGCACTGGAGACATTAAATGACTCTAAGAGACTGCTAACTATTTAGACGTCGACTGAATATTTGGTTTTGCAATTGCGATTGGCTTGGCTTTGCAATCCTGCACTACCACCCCACAAGTTGATTGGCCGAAGCCTAGGAACGTGACTTTGCCGTAGTAAGCAGCACACAGAATCAGGCAATTCTTCATCCGCGTTGAAATAGCCACACAAGGGTCGTTTTTACGTGGAATAAACATCACCTGAAGCCACTAGTTCGTAATATTTTGTTTTAAATTTTTTTGATTCCAAAGAAAGGTGGTGAGTGAGAGCGCAAATATCCGACCAAGCACTCTAATTTTTGCTTAGCAGTAAGCCCGGAAATAGACTGCATTTGTTACTAAGGCTTGACAATCCAAGTAAATCAAGGTAAAATGACATTTTTTTGCGTCTACAGTGTTTCGTTCTTGGGCAGGGCTGAAGATGCATCCACTAGACCGTAGAAAAGCCGCGATTGCTTGTGCCACTGCGACAGTCCTGGGAGGCACTACCGCGTGAGAAGCGAGCACATGTTTGCTTAAGGTTATTTACATGTTTAGGTAAGAATTGTTTGCGCAGAGTGTGCCTTGTGGAAGCTCAAATGAACTAGGTCTCGCTAACCCAGTCCTACAACTAGGTACTTAATTTGTGACAAGGTCAGATGCATTACTGCATGCCTTCTGAGGATTTTATTTGAAAATTGTCCCTCTAACCTACTTAATTTTCAAATCCATCATGACTTTGGGAATAACGTCGATAAACCCATAGAGAAAACTACCATTAGATAACTACCAAAGACTGTCATTTTTCAACTAATTTGGTGCTGATCTACCAGAAGACTCAACAGTCATAATCCCTCCTTACCAATCATGGTAAATAATGCCGACACCTTAAAAAGAAATCGGTGATTTTGCTTGTTTTACACAAGATCCGTTATTTACAAAATGAAGTCACACTAGAAAATAAATTGGAATTGCATATTTTTCACTTTTTCACAAAATTTGAAAACAACGAGAATGTTAGGAAGGCAAGCAACGTTGCCGAAGTGAGTCACGTAAAAGTAAAGCCAATAAAAATTGCGCATAGCTTTAGCTGTAGTAAGAGGATAGGCTTCATCTACCTTCACTTCTGCTTTTATTTCCTTATATATTATTAATCTGAAAATAAACGCAAAACCACAATTCCAATAAAAGAACAGGTTTTCGTCTTCACTAGGCTTCTCACCGTTTAAGAAATCTGCCCCAAACGCGTTCCCAAGCCTTGTCCAAACTGCCATGCCGCTTCATTTGATTTAAAAAGTGGTCCGACAGAGGCTTCCTCACTACGTTGGACACTCAGATCTAGTAAAAACAATGCGTCATTTTCCTTTAATCTGGGCTAATGAAAACCGGTTGCATCAAAATTAGCCCATCGAAACCATAGAAGGGTTACTAATGAGTCAATAATGCGAACCCTTCGCAGGTGTCGCAGAACACAGCCGTCTAAATTGAACATATCCTGAAACGAATTAGAGTGGAATGTGCAGATAAAGTGCCACTTCAAAATGCTGGGAGTGGAACTTTGCAGCAAATTTATTCTGATTACTTGTTCATAGTAAGGACAATAAATTGCCTGGATTTAATTTATGGGCATTAAGAACAGCAACAAAACAGCAACAATAGTTTCAAAATAAAACACATTTTAATCATTCTAAAATCAAATGGCACTCACAAGGATATTTATGGAAGAATTGGTTAAGAACAGCAAGCTGGAACTTATTCAAGGATCGCGGAGTGATCTGTACACTTCGAGTGTAGAGCTTCAATATGAAACTCTAGAATAGCAATATAGTGTTATACACTTTTAGACTTAACCCTAAGAAAGTGTTGTTTGAGATATAAGATTGATTTAAAAGGACATTTTTGATAGGTTTGCATGAATTTATCAAAAAATTCAAGTACATTGATATGTAATCTCAGATATTTAGAATATTACAGTTGGGATTTTTTGCATGATTTCAAGCTTTCTCATTTTGCGGTCAAAAAAACTAGAATTAAAATTTTTTAAGTATAATTTGTTAAGTAGGCAAAGCAGCTTAAATTCGTATTTAATTCGCAAACGGATTATAAAAACTTGACGAAAATTATATATTTCCATTAAGAAAATGCAGAATAATATGGAAGCCAAGAAATATTTTAAAACTAAAATACAGCCAGTGAGTTTGCTAATGAGTTGCAATTATTTTACAAAAAAGAGATAAAAAGAAAGTGCAGAAGATACGTAGCGTAATAAAATCACAAACGAAATTATGTTTTTACAACCGGCAATCATTAAGGCAAAAATAATATTTTTATCTATTGATTGTTGACATTTTCCGATGGTCACATAATTCACTGTGAATTTTTTACGCAGTTTATTTTATGCAACATTTTGAGGTAGGTGTAATCGGTAAAAGAGCCCTTACGAGCCCATTTATTGAAATTATTCTGTTTTTTTAAGAAAACACGAGGATTTAACTAATGGAAAGAGTTTTCCCTGGTTGATGATAGTTTAGGCTCTAGGAGTAAATGTTTGTATCGTCGAAGTCTGTTCGAATTAATGACTGCACTAATGTTTCGGATTCTATGCTATTTGCTAAATCCAAAAGCCAATGATGTGAATTATACCATATGCTCTACATATTTGTTTTAAATGAAACAAAACAAATTATTTAATAAATATAAATTGCAGTATATGCATCTACAGCAGATTATGCAACTTATTAATTTTTAAGTTATTAAATAAAATCAGTTTGAGTTAGTTGGCAGTCAGGCGAAGGTTTGAATTAGTGTTTCTAATTTTACGCAATGGATTCTCTTGCCCACTTTACACACCAGCAAGCCGTCACGCGTGATTACATATCACACCCAAGAATCAGTAAGAATTGAATTTAGCAATTATATTGTATTAAGGCTACAGGACTGTTTCTGGGGTTAATGGTCCCCTAGTTATTTTGGATGATGTCAAGTTTCCGAAGTATGCCGAGATCGTCCGCATCACTTTGTCGGATGGTAGTGTCAGAAGTGGCAAGGTCCTCGAAGTTAGTGGAAAAAAAGCCGTTGTTCAGGTGTTTGAGGGGACAAGTGGCATTGATGCCAAAAACACGATATGCGAGTTTACAGGTGACATTTTGCGTACCGCAGTTTCGGAAGACATGCTTGGCCGCATTTTTAATGGTTCTGGGAAACCCAAGGACGGTGGCCCGTCAATTCTGGCCGAAGACTATTTGGATATTGAAGGCCAGCCCATAAATCCGTACTCACGCATATACCCGAGGGAAATGATTCAGACTGGAATATCAAGCATTGATGTAATGAATTCAATTGCGAGAGGGCAGAAGATTCCTATTTTCTCCGCATCAGGTCTTCCACATAATGAAATTGCTGCCCAGATTTGTCGTCAAGCGGGTTTGGTGCGGATGAGTGGAAGTGGCGTGACTGATGATGAGAATGACAACTTTGCCATAGTATTTGCTGCCATGGGTGTTAACATGGAGACTGCCCGATTCTTTATGCAAGACTTTAAAGAGCATGGTTCCATGGAAAACGTTTGCCTTTTCCTTAACTTGGCTAACGACCCGACCATTGAACGAATTATCACACCCCGTATCGCTCTAACAACCGCCGAGTACCTGGCCTATCAGTGCGAAAAGCACGTTCTTGTTATTTTGACAGATATGAGCTCCTATGCTGAGGCCCTTCGCGAAGTAGATTAGTTTGTAGTACTTATTTACGTTGTTAGGTTTCAGCCGCAAGAGAGGAGGTGCCCGGTCGTCGTGGTTTCCCTGGTTACATGTACACTGATTTGGCCAACATATACGAAAGAGCGGGCCGTGTCGAAGGCAGAAATGGGTCCATTACACAAATACCCATCCTCACTATGCCAAATGATGACATTACGCACCCGATTCCTGATCTCACTGGTTATATTACTGAAGGACAAGTATACGTTGATCGGCAGCTTTACAATCGCCAGGTGAGCAACTTTTGCAAGTATTTAGCTCTTTTGATTGGTTCTTACGGAAATACACGCACTCATTTTGTAGATATATCCACCTATCAATGTCCTACCATCTCTTTCTCGTCTTATGAAATCTGCAATCGGTGAGGAAATGACCCGGGAGGATCATTCAGATGTTTCTAACCAGCTGGTGAGTTACAACTTACAGGATTCCGAGTGTTTCTTTCGTCAGCAGTGCTGTCTTACGTAATCGGACTTTATCATATTTCAGTACGCGTGCTATGCGATTGGCAAAGATGTTCAGGCCATGAAAGCTGTCGTCGGCGAGGAAGCCTTGAGCTCCGAGGACCTGCTTTATCTCGAGTTTCTCACCAAGTTCGAGAAACTCTTCATCTCCCAGGGTCCTTACGAGAACCGGAGTATTTTTGATTCCCTCGATATCGGCTGGGATCTGTTGCGCATCTTTCCTAAGGAATTGCTCAAACGTATTCCTGCATCGATATTGAACAAATATTACCCTCGTCGAATGGAGGCACAACGCTAAACTATTTAAGTAACTTAATTGTGATACATTGTGATCTCTTTTTCCCTCAAACCGAACTCGTTGTTGTTGCCGATCAACTGTTGTCAGGTCAACTCCCTCACTCTTCCTCGTAGGCTCTGTGTAGTGGTTGTTCTTTCCACAGTTCCTTACTACGGAGAGCTACTCCTCTAAAGCATAATAATGTCAAAATGATCATCACTTGTTGTGTTCTAAGCGATGTCGATTTGGTCTAAGAATAACATTTTTACCAATTTGTCCTTTTGTGTTCCTGGGACAACTGAGCACCGGACGTAATTTCGAATGCGAAATTGCGGGGTTTTTCGAATTCGGTGGTTTCTCAGCTGTCATGCGAGGGGTGAGGCTCCACCGATTGGGGCAGATTTGTAATTTCCATATCCATAAATGCAAGAACTACTATTTAATATGCCAGAAATTCAGTTGGGAGGCCGTCTCGTGCAGGTCTGCTGCAAGGTTTCCTCGATTTTCTAATGAGTAAAATCTGAGTAAGAGTGTGGTGGGGCCTTATTAAGACAGAGAGGCACTGTTAAAAAACGGATTTGCAGTCACCCAATCCCAGAACATTCCACATTTTTACATAAACTGTATGGATTCATAAGATAATTTTAAAGTGAGATTTTAAGTAGAATCCAATGCGCACGGAATCTAGCATCGTTAGATTAACTCCCTTAGCATCTGTTTGTTTGTTCAATGAACTTAACTAGGGTGGTTTTGGTCGAGAAAAGGTAATGTGTGATTTTTGTCACCATCGAGACTAACGTGTTTTTCGTGCCACCCAACATAGCATGCACGTGCTGACCCAGCGTGCTAGCTAAGACGTAAGCTTACCGACTTATCTTTTTTTGTATTTTGAGCACATTGGACCTGATCTAAACTAGACTGCATACAAAATATGCAGTCGGGTAGCATGCAGTGACTCGATAACGACCTTGACAGATCTATCAGCCAGCGTTCAAGATGACACAACTTGCAAACTAGGCTATAGGGCGGTGAGTTTGTCGGACATTCTTCTTTACTGTGCTGGCTGGTCATCAGTAGGTTTGTTAGCACTACTTTACAACCCTTCTAGTTAACTGTCCTTAACAATCCGAGACAGGCGACAGCTGATACGACAGTTTACTAGCGCCACGCCAACCAAGTGCCCTTTGCGCACGGATGACAAGCGACTGATAACAGTAACCAATGCAATAGGAATGAGTCATTACACCATTAGATCAATAAGCAGGCTTTAATCGGGCGCGGTCACTGACATTCCACTACAAGTGTGCCCGGAGACTGCTAGGAATGTGCAAGTGTCGCAAACACGAACGCCGCTAAATCCTCTGCGTCCAAATAAATCTGGTCTGTGAGTGAATTCCTGAAATAACTTGAGAACTTGAGCGTAATCCACGAAACAAGGTGGGATTACAACACAATAAACGGACGTGTTTACACTACTGCAATATTTCACATCGTGCATCGGTGGATGACCTCCATGCCTACGAGTTTGGTAAGCCGGCAATGTCAAATGTCCGAGGTTTCGCTCATGTCGCGCTGGCGATTTTGCAGCGACTTGACTAACATGTTGTGAATCGTGTTTATTCACGCCCCTTAATCCGGTCGCTATATCCTCCAACACAAGGTTCCCCTTTTCGCAGCATGTCGCCAGCCGCGCGGATCCTCAACTCCCCACCCTTCATTCACAGGGATATTTATCTTGGATTATCCTCACGCCTAGGTCTCGATGTTAGCGCATGTATGACTCACTCATCTGAGGTATAAATACACACGCTCAAACCCCACACACGACACAACGTGGTTGAGCTCTGAAGTGAACGATCGTGTCCACGTCCTCTCCGCTCCTTTCCTCGTCGCGGATATCCGGAAGCCTAATCGGGCCAGGGTTAATTCTGTGGCCCCGGTGTGGTTCAGTACCACATGCTGGGGCCCACAGCAAACATTTCGGTTCAGCCACCTCGGTACACAAAATGGTGCTTTTACGGATGAGGTGAACTTCTGGGTTAGATGCAATTTAGGCACAGTCTGTGGTTAAGCATGGTTTGGTTTGGTGAGATATTTACCAGACATAGCCGCTCAGATAATAGCAAATTTATTAGGTAATTTGTACAGATTTTTTTCTTCCAGATTAAAATTACGCTTAAAATAGAAATATTTTTGAGGCCTTTTGTAGTTTTGAAATGATCAGACGTAAGGTTTCAGAATACCAAACGGCAAGTCCATGTGGTTTATGTAACATCTCAAAAAGGTAGAGTTTACGACGGCACCTGAGGAATAGCACATTCGATGGAACTGCATATTATACGAATTCTAACAAGGAAAAAGGCACGGGAATCAATTTATAGTGTTTGTGGTACCATGGTTATGTCTCAGGAAACGTGTAATTAGTGATACAAAGGGTTTATACGTGGTGATTTCGGTCTTAGTGATCAGCCGCGCCTCAGACAGCAGCCTCAAAAGTGTGAAGATGCAGAAACGCAAGCTCCGCTAGATGAAGACTCAACGCAAGCGCAATAAGAGTTTGCGGCAGCTAAGTTAGGAGTTACCCAAACAGCGCTTGCACCACCAAATGAGAAAAATTCAAAGTCTTGGAGGTTGGGTTGATGATTATTGACCGAACACAATCCACGTCAAAGTATGAACACATATCTTTCACTGCTTGCCTACCGACAACAATGTTACGTTTGCCCGTAACAAAGAGGAAACCAATCAGATAACGGTACCAGATCCCTTAATGACGCTAGAACCGACCTTCCCACGCTAGTACAAGAACAAGACCAGAGCTCGTGTAGCGAACTTTAATCACGTCAGCCACGTGCGGAGCTGTCAAAAGTGAACACTAATTCAAGTCAGGGTTGACCTTGACCTCATAAAAAGCGTAATAAAACAGGTATCGGGGAATTAATGTAAATAATGCAATCTTAGGGAATCCTGGACCCCCAGCAAACAAGGAGTGCTGAACATTGTGAGGGTGGATGAAAAGTGTGTTATTTATGAGAATCTCAAACGCAAAATGTGATAGGTCAATCCCGGACAGAGCATCCACTTAACGAAGAAGGTTCACCTGTGCATCTAGTGGCACATGAGGGGTGCATTTGATTGCAAACTCCTGGAGACTGGTCAGACGGTGACTACGGAACCCCACAGCAAACAACTGAACAAAATGAGCGAAGGACGTGGTCAGAAAGGCTATTTACTGGACAAGGAAATCGACAAATCAGGCTGCCGCTGCTGCATGACAACGCTCGACCTCACGTTGGACGAGTGAATCACTCGACCCTCTTGCAGTTTATATGGAAATTTCTCCCACACACGGCTTATTCGCTAGACTTGGCCCCATCAGGATAAATATTCGAAAACTCTAGACGATGTGCGTAAGTTCGTCAGTAAAAATTGATTGCCTCGAAGCCAGTAAGTTTCCTTCGCGCCGACATTCATACGTTACTTAAGAGATTGCGCAAGGTCATTGGAAACGATGAACAATATTTCTGAGATTTAGTTCATTGTTATCTATTTATTATATTAAATAACTGCTGAACAATTTGTACAAATTACGTCATACACTTAACAGAAGCTGGCGAATGTTCCGGTTGCACGTCAGTAGGAAGCGCCCACAAAGCAATGTGGATGGTGTTCTGTGATTGGGGAAATAAATTATGCTACTGTAGACACAAGTGATTATGGAGTTTTGCTAATTGCTTTCCGGATCTAAATTATAACACTCACATCTTGGTCTGACAATCCAAGTGTTTGGTTCTTGTTGAAACCGACGTACTTCCATATCATTGGAGATGATCCTCGTAAAGCGTTTGGCATGATCCGAACGAGCGAGCAGCACACGGTTGACAGTGAGGTACGTCAAACTTCATTTGAGGAAACGGATAAGCAAATAAGCCGATATCTGTCAAAATTCATGTATAATGTAGTGACTACTTACTTCACATGTGGTGTGAATGGCTAAAGCCTTAAACATTAAGTCTTTGAGTTTGGTCAAAGTTGGCATCGGCGCGAAGAAATAAATGACCAATAGGTATTTGTCATGTTACAAATTGCTGTCGATGATTTTTAAAAACAAAGGATAACAGAAATAAAAATGCGACTTGTTTAGGGACAGAAAATCTATTTCAAACTGGCCTGCCGCATCTATCTGCACTCGAATAAAAACTAACACAGCAAATTGAATAGCAACTTTCACAATGATGTGCTTATTGTCGACTCGTATGCATCTGTTTTACACCCTTGTCTGGCACACCAGAACTCCAAGATTAACTATTTTCTTCTTGTTGCAATGCCGCCATTCTCTCCTGCCCATTTTCTTGTTGGATTTTGACTCATTTAACGAACTACATTTAAAATTTCACGAAACGATGACAGCACACACATTCTGGCGTTGGGCCTTCAATTAGGAGGTGACCTGAAAGATTCGTAGTGCAGGCTAACGGTGGTTCCCCTTGAGTAAATCTAGGATGTTGCCACTGCTTGGCATTTGGATCCGCAGCAATTACAATGATTTGTTTGCAAAGTTGAAATTGTGGCTTTTCTGGTATCGTTGCCCTACAATTAATGTGTCATGGCAACCATCTCTTATGCTGCCTGTTACCTTTCGAGGTAGGAATTGTTTTACCCCCGTAACTAATGAAACTGAACCACGCGTTGTAATTTCAGTTTGGATCCTCGCAGTAATCAGTGTGAATAATTTGCTACTAGCTCCGCATGGAGCATGCATAACTGACGGTTTTATAACAGCATAAATGAAAGCAATAAACAGCAGGATATTGTCGTGGTTTAGAACCTGTCAGAATGAATAACGTGTAGGTCGCGTTGTGCGTTGGTTACTGTCCTGGCTATTAGCATTAAGACGGGGTTTGTAACACCCATGAAGTGTAGAAATAAAGCCTAGCTTTCTGCAAAACCACGTTTCCAAAAGTGACAGGTTCCATACCACTTAGCTAAAATTTGTGTTCATTTCGAATTAGCCCCAAATGTCTTTGATAGTGTGTTGTCATTTTGAAGTCGGTTGTATCCCAGCAAGCACAAGGAACTAAGGCACAATTCTTAAAGCAATGGGCTTTTAACGAGGCCTTCAACAGATGTCCTCTACAGAGCTTGGCAGTGCTGTCTTTTGAGAAATACGAACAGCATGCATATTTTCTATAGAGACAGAAACACGAAACTTTGAGCAGCCACTGGATGCCACCAACGAATGCTGCGCGCTCGAGCAATCGGTGTAGTTATTTTAAGGTGGTCATTAACACACACAGTTACGCAGAGAGTTGTCATGAGCTGGCGATCGCAACCAATTGGATCATCGGAGTTCGTAACTAGCGCCTTTTCAGTTCACCGCGCGTGAATTTACTCAATGCAGGCACGTATTCACAGGCCACGTGACTGGCTTGTTTACGTCACGTAACAGAGATTCCAAGTAATGGGTCGTGTTGCATGTCCAATTCCTCCTGAATGTGGGCACACTTACTCTACCTTGAACCGTCTGTGAACGCGCGTGAGTGAAGCTTGCTATTAGACAGATTGGTGTCAATGACTCACACCTTCTTTTCATTAGTGCGTGTTTTTGATCGTTTGATAAACAAAGTCACCCTCACACAAACACACGTGTTAGGCCAGATACGAATAAACGGTTGTATCCGCTATTGCCTATCTCACCTTCCCTTTAGGACTGGTACGATCGATGAACTAGCAGAATTTCTAGGTAAAACAAGTAAGCACCACATCTGCGCCATTGTTTGGTGATTTCTTTTGAGTTGTAAGGACGCATAGTTGGACTCTCATAAGGCATAGCGGAGTTTTCATTACATTTATGCCAATCCAATCAATCTGGAAAACGATTTGGCCTGTGTTCATACCAGTATCACTTCAGCAACAAGGCATGCGCTTGTGACTCCTCGCACAATGGCGTGCTGGCCTCCAAGTTATCCAATGTACCTTCAGAAAGCGAGAGACCTGGCCTGTAACCGCGACGACTAGTCGCCTGTTTTACGTCACTAACGCAGTTTATCATTTAAAATTTGTGAATGACACTGGAGCCGGTGTTGGCATAATTCTCCCAAGACCTGACAAATATCACCCCAGTGCCTCCGGTCTACAACTTTAAGCGAAAGAACAACACACTCATTGCGAGGTGTGATCACAGTTTGATCCCATCTTATCTTGGCCTTAGGCGACAGTTTTCAATTGTTGGCACCAGGTTCCTTTCTTAGTTTGGCCTCAAAAGTGGCGTTATGCTGCACAAGCTCACTGACTCACGCACCGCTCTATCTGTACGAGTTCCTCTTTTGACTCCTTTTGACATTACCCGATTCCACTGGGTAGCGATAACTTCTAAAAGGGTTCGTAAAATTGTCAATGGGGCCCAGACAGCCCACAAAACCTCGCACCAAGTCATGCACCATATCGTTTACTAAGGACTCGCCAACACATGCTAAAGTCAGACGACATGCATCTGGTAAAACTCGGAGAAGCTAAAGTAGAGTTTGACCATTTGGCACAATTCGCCATTCCAGCATCTCTTAGACTGAGTCATTGCACACGGCGACTTCAGAGCCCCCAACCAGGCCAACGTTCCTGACCTGTACCCCATTCCACACATTCACGAAGTTTTCTGGGGTCCGGATGGTGCCAAAGTCTTTTCAAATCTAGACATTGCCTAGGCTTATCACAAGATACCTGTTTCCCCAAAATACGCACTCAAAACTGTCATTTCTACGTCAATCGGCTTATCGGAGTTCGCACGTGTGCCTTTTGGTTTACGCAATGAAGTCGAGATTATCAGATTCGTGAAATAAGTCATGCGTGGGCTTGGCGTTTTCCTTATCTACCTTCATGATATTCTAATCGTCAGAAAGGACAACGAAAAACATCGCATCTACAACAAGTTTTTGTCCGTATTAAAGTAGATGAAATTGCATCAAACCCTCAAAATGTGTTTTGGGAGTCAATAGTGTTGAGACTCTTGGATACCACGGCGATGTATGCGGTATCGAATCCATAACTGAGATACCGACAGCGATGTAGTAGCATCCAATACCTGAGTCACTTCACAACTTGAGTCGATATCCTGGTTTGGTCCTTTCGCGTGTTACTCTGATTTCGTCTGTACTGGCTGACCTCAGTAATTACGAAGGCTGAAACAGCATCTCACGGTATAATGGTTGCTACAGCAAAAATCAGGAACCTGTTTCACAGAAGGTTGGAAGCGACACTGGTCTTGATTCCCAACTGCTGTCGGAGCAGTTTTTCAAAAAGAGCTCGAGGGTTGTTTTAAGCCACGGTTTTTCCCCCGAAAGATTTAACTAACTCGGACCCATCACAGCACATTTTCAAGAAAAAAACTGGCAAGTCACCTCATTGTAAACCGTTTCGTTGCCAATTTTTACACATGAAGACACTTTGACTCATGTTCTTGGCAAACCATCTGTCCGATGGTTCCTAATTAAAATCAGATGTTAAGATATTTCACAATTAGCAACCAGTATTGGCTGCCTTGATGGTATTGACAACTTCAAGTCTGTTGCAGTCCTAATTAAAAGAGAGTGTGACCAAAACTACTTCCCAGGCGTTTACGGAATCATCGGCATCGTCAATCGGTGTTTTCAGTTCCGTAAAACACGGTGTTTTTCAGGAATTGAAGCATATTTGAGGGTGCATTCATTTTCATACTGTGTCGTATCATCTGATATCGAAAAGCACAAGAAGGCCTCTATTACAATCAGTTAAAATTAGCTATTACGGCCAGACCTGCATCTAATAGCTGATTAGACGCGCAAGCGTTGATTGCATTGGCCAGTTGCGATGCCGTAGAAAAAGATATCAACATGGCTCTAGCAGAACTTTTAATTAAAATAACCCTGTGCCTGTATGGTAAAATGTTCAGTTTTGTTATTACTTGATTGAAAGTTGATAAATTGAAGAACTTCACGGTAAAAATCCGACCCGCCTCAACGAGAGTTTCCTAGTTGAAGACACTTATTCAAACTCCTATATCTGTATCTATGGGATCAAATTTCCATTTCAACAAAATTATGATGCTCAGTTTAAGCTCTTTGTGAAGCGATCAACACGGATTTGTGTAAAGACTCACAGTTATCTTCAACTAGACGTAGATTTTTGCCTCTCGATATACAGGTTCTCTGGTTGTTGCAGACTGCATGCTAGTAAAGTAGTAGTGTGAGCCAAGAGGACACTTTAATAAACATAGCATTCGTTCGAAAATGGTTGTCATCATGGTTTAATTAGTCGATGGCTTGGTACTGGACCTTTGTTCGTTGGGACTGAATCAGACGCTTAACAGACAGTTTAGACGACCACGATGGCATGCAAGATCCCTCATGACAGAATTAATTTGCTGTATGCGGAAACTACGAGTGTGAACTAGCACAACTAGGTATTTTCTTGAAATTGCACTTCAATTTGGAATCAAGTGTAGGTGCATAGTTTGGATGATCTAATTTGATACGAAATTGGTTCGCATTTGAGCAAATGATTCCAAAGTGCCTATCCAAGCTAAGCCAGGAGGATTTTTTTGGCAAACAAGCGGAATTATAAAAGCATAATTGGGTACCTAAATAAAATATTCACCACAAAAAAGTAGCCAGAACAAGCTAAAACAAGCACAGGTCACAAAAACAACTAAACGATTTGCAAATCCAAACATTAAAAATAATCAACTGCAATAATGATCGGCTTAAACCAACATTGCCAATGACTGACGGCGATGAAATCGAGCACATAGACGAGTAAACACATAAACTCACTGCCTCCTTATGTTTTAAACAGTGGTCCTCCATAAGTGATAGATTAGAAACATAACAGTATTTTTACTGGCATATAAATGTAAATTTCGAGAAAGTGAATTAACGAGAAATATAAATGATTATTTGCGTTCGTGTTTATGAGATGAACTGTCGACGTCACTTAACTTAAAATTCCTTCAAACTGTATACAATGTACATAAGAAAACAGATTTAAAATGACGCAACATAAATTAGAGCAAACATTCTCCTCTCACACTCAAAATTTAGACACAATTAAGTCAACGAAAAATTGCGACGAATATTACAGATAAAATACCACAAACATAACTCACATAAAATACAGCCCTGTCCTAAAATAGCCCTGCAGCAAAAAACATCCTACAGAAACGACATTGGTATATAAAAAACGGTTTTCAAGGTCAGGAAACTTAAAAAGCAAATTCGTTTAAGTCGGCTATTTAAGCAGGTCACAACAGCAGTCACCAATTCGTAACACCCGATGCCAGGTACGTTGATTACACTAATTGACATTATCATGGTCACTGTACACTGTTACAATAGAGTAAAAACTTTTTCCGATTAAGTAAGTTGCAGGTATACATATTCCGCTCAACAATAAGTCAATCATACGCTACTAATCTTCTGGCTAAATGATTTCTGATAACGCAATTGTTAGGTCCCAATGTAATGCACTTCTTTTGATAACTACGAATAACAGTTAATTCAAAACAGCACAACAAGTGCAATAATCATATCTCACGCAAAAGCGCTTCAGCAAACGCCAAGAGATCTCCAGCTAATTTATGTTAATCGGACAGACAACATTAGGTGCTACCCACAACCTAGTGTTTTAGCACTGACTTCAATCCCAAGAGTCTGATGTTGTGCTCGACCTTTAAAGATATGCTGTCGAGTGTTTCTCCGAATGAATCCGCTTTCACCACTAGTATACTAGTAGGTGAATTGCACAATAATAACCTGTTACTCAGTAGACTAACAACCTGTCATGGCTAACTGACAGCTTTCTCAACTTGTAATGAAACTTTTAGCTGTAACATTGCAACCTGAGTTTCTGCAAAGAGATCCGACATCTGGAATTTGCCCCAGCTGCAAGAAGGAAATTCAAACGGAAGTCACCTATGAGAAAGGGACATGTGCTTATGTATCATGCGTTGTGCTCGCATTACTTGGGTAAGTTGCGGACTCACAGTCTCGTTATATTGGTTTTTGCCTAAATGGAGCCTTAGATGGCAAATGGAAGTTTACGCAAACCTTTCTTTAATTTCAGCTGCGATCTGGGTTGCTGCTTTATTCCCTTCTGTGTGAAACGGTTCAAGGATGCACATCATACCTGTCCCAAATGCAACTTCCAGCTCGGCGTCCGCAAACCCTAGCAAAATAACTCTTATGAATTCAACCTTTCATCAGCCTATTTTGTAATGCACACATCACACACAATGCATGCAATAAAATCATTCCAATGAAAATGCACATTTGTTGCAGTGTTTGTTGTGGAACGCAGTGAGGAGCTGTTAGTTTCTTTGCCTCAAAACGCAAATGGAGAAGAAGTAGGTTTTTCTAAGTCAAGATGCAAATAGTGAAAGCGTAGTGTTACTGCTGCGTTTACAGTATGGACAATGTTTGGCACTCAGTGCAGTTTGGTAGTCATAGGAGTAGGCTTTCTAAAGCAGAAATTAAGTAAAGGAAACCTGCTGTGCAAGTATGTTCAGTAGATTAGACGAGTAGCAAAACGAGTTTAGAATGCTGGTACAACAATTGCCAGGGGTTTGTAGAAGACGTCCTGCATTTGCATGACAAAATGCAAATTCACGAATTAGTGGGACACTAGTCAAATGCTCAATATCAGGCAACGCCAAGGTGATATGAATGTGGCGTCTGTCGCCAACACACCACAGGCTTACGGTTCAAGTTCCGTGAATTGTCTTTGCAAAATTAGTCAATTCACGGAATTTAAACTCTGCTAAGTTTGCCAAACAGTAAGGATAATCATTTCACAGTCGACCCAAATCCAGCATGTTGGTGCTTATAACGTCATGCATATTAAAATATTAGAACACAGAAGAGTACTAAGAGGGCTGTATTTGTTCTGACTTTATAAATAAACGCTCAACAAAAACGCCAGTCAAGGAATTTTGCATATACCAGCACAATCCCTCAATGTGGGATTTGACCGAACCACAAAATCCCAGAATCTCTGATTCATGAATAGAACCTTCCAACAAACTATTTAGTAATACACACGTCATACATAATACATGCAATAAAATCATTCCAATGAAAGTGCATATTTGTTGCAACGTGTTTGTTCAGGCATGCATCAAAGTGCTGTAATTTTCTTCAACTCAAAAGGCAAAAATAGAAGACGTAGTGGTGATGCTGCTGCTGCTTTTACAGTATGGACGATTTCTTGGCACGAAATAAGTGTAGTCCTTCTAAAGCAAAAATAATGACAAGTAAACGCGCTGTGCATGTATGTTCACTAGACTACACTAGCAGCATAATTATTTGAGTATATTGGCACAGCAATAGCCAGAGGTTGCAAGAAAACGCT